AGAACAAACAATATCTTAGTATCATGTTTAGCTATGATGTTATTTTTGACTTGACTGTCATTGATTAACAAAAGATTAATTCAAAATAATTCCCTATAACAAATCTAACTCAAATAGGATAAGTATCTCAACTTCCTGTGTATCTATGCAATATACCATCAATAACAGAGGTAAACCAAATCGTTGCAAGTTCTATTGTGATCTTCTACTAAATTGCAATATATTCCTGCACCCAAAGAATTTAGTTCTATCCAGGAGTGAAATAAATCTTCCGTTTCTTTCTTCTATATGTTTGTCGAAAGAGAACAATGGAATACTTTAGAAGGTAGGGAGCTGAATGCATACAGAATTAATTGGTAGGAAGTTGCTCTGTTTTTGTTTTTTGGTTTTTGATTGTTTTTTATGATGGTTTATCTTTATTCAGAAAAACAAAGAATCCTCTTTAGACAAGAACAAAGGATCCTTTAGACATGTTATTGATTGTTACATATGTGTCATTTATTGAGAAGTCGAGTTCTTGAAAAAGTGACACTTCTCAAGTTACTAACACTTCTTGTTTAATCCAATAAATAATATATTTTAGGATCGATTAATTTTTTATTCTCTAAATGTCTAAATATGTAGATGTAAAAATCACAATTATATGGTAATAATTGGCACCAATCACGAACTATCTGTTTCCATGGAGTTACTCTATTTTTGTTTATGGAATTTTCACTGTTTTAATCATTCTCTTTATTTAGAGAACAAAGAATTCTCTTTAGACAAAGTACAAAGATTTTTTTATTTTGTTTGAAAATATTACGCATTACTATGGTGTTGTTTGCTATAAGTTTTGAAAAGAACAAGTACCAAATAAGTCAGTCATGGCTTTAACATCGTCGTGTATGTTGGAGAGAATCGTCGTGAAATATGAAATAGTTCTTCTTCCTTTATTAGCACCGTTAAACAAAAAACTTAAAGTACTGTTGGGAAGTTAATCATAGAACAAGAATTATAAATTCCAGTTCGAACACCAAACAAAACGATGATTATGTTCCGATGTTGAATCTATCCAGGACTGAAATAAACACTCTGTTTCCTTCTTTCCACTAATTTTTTCAACCGCTAAAATTCAATGAAGGAAATTGTTACTCTATAAACTACATCGAAGCTACCCTTGCTTATCACTTTAGTCGAAGTAGACTCTTGACAATGTCATCAATTGAGAAAACGAGTTATTGATAAAGTGGAACTTCACAAGTTTCAAACCTATATAAATAGAAAGAATTCCTTGATGTTAATTGGTTACTGATTTAGTGATTGTCAATAATTCAATGTACTGGACTGTTTGTATGTTAGGTTACTACCAAAGATGTTGTAAGAATGAGAGCTTTACTTAAAAGTGTAGCGGATTATTGGTTCAAAATTCATATATGATGTGACCTTATTATAGAGCCCCTGCTTAAAAAAAAAAAAAGAATCAGCCCGCTTGTGTCGCAATGCTCCATTACACATCGAACAAAACTAAACACCTCCTAATCAGATCCAAAACCTACTTCTTCTCGTAATTAGCTAGCTATAGCAAGTTCTGCAATAGAATTTCAAGTTCACTGGCATTGAATACTCTTCGATAAAAAAAAAAGCATGAAATACTCTAATCACAATTTAGGTTCACTGATAATAATTAGAGGTGGTGAAGTTCTGAAAATGAAAATAATGATAAAGATGTTATGAAACAGCATACTTCTAAACCAATATGTGATAAACTACAAAAACCATACAACAAGTACTTTAAGAGTTAGTGATCTCAAATATGAGATTCTTTGTCTAATGTTTATCTATACTTGTAAGTAGAATAAAAAAAATTCATAAAACAGAGTAAGATAAGTATAAAAAATAAAGTGCAATGAGATCTTTGTATCTAAGCTCTAACCAGTAGTGCCACATTAATAATAAAGAACTTTCAAATCTTCAGACGTATCCTAATAATACTATTACGATAACTAACTAATCGATTCGTTTATAATTCCAAACAACCTTTTAGAATATTATATCTATTTTTAAGAAATACCTTAGATTAAATATACATTGCTAAAAAAAACCCTAACACATTTAAAAACGCTAAGAAATTATATAAGAAATTTATCCAAACAGGTTTGACAATACTTTAAATAATTTAATCGTTATTATATAACTATCCCACTTCGTTAACGATTAATATCTTATTTTTAATAAATAAATATTTATGTAAAATGCTAGCTGAATTCAATTATTTGTGTCCGCGTGATTGATACAATGTTATGAATAACTGTTATATAGGGACATATCAGAAACTCTATAAACTATATAACGTTTGGACCAATGCTTGACTTTGGAGTGAAACCCATGTTTAATCATTTTAAGTACAATTGGACTGATAATTGGGCTTCTATGTAACGCTATTTTCAGACCTAATTAAAAACCCATTAACATTATTTTGGCATTATTTAAGAACCCTAATTCGTAATGCGCCATTTCAGAATTCACGAAGAGGTATATCTCCAGAACCCTCTGCAGACAACGTTTCAGAAATGATTTTTTTATCTTTTCAAAACCGTCGGCAGTTTAATACGTCGCTTCGTATTCTAAAATTACCCTCTAAGTCATCTATAAAATGATTGCCATATGCTTCGTGACATGCACAAAATTTTAACGACGACTTAAGGTTATCTTTTTCTTTTTTCTATCATTAACTGTATAGTGAAAACCAAAGTTCTGCAAGTTCTTATTTACTCACATTTTAAAAAATTATAGGTTGTCTATGGAAGAAAGCAATCGGCCATACTCAACACTCGGTGATCTTGTAGGAGACCCGAGAAATGCTAAAATCATTGTCAGTCTAATCTGTCAAACGGAGGCTCGGAAGAAACGCAGAAACAACAATCAATGTCGTCTCTCACTCCTACAACCTAATATGGCGCATTTTTCTGCTTATGTAATAGTTTGCTTTCGAAGTTTATGTAATGACTTTGTAAATTCGTTTTGATTTCAATAAAATTGTGTTTGTCAGAAAAATAAATAAATTAAGATCCGAAAAACTAAAGATTTTTTTTTTCAATATTTTCAATAGATACGTATGGGTATAACAAAACCTCTTATAGCTTGTTTATTCGGTGTAGTATTAGTAGTTTTGTTGTCAAATAACAACGTTTTGGCACCAGGTTTGTTTAAAATCCAATGTCTTATTGATTTTTAATTAGCGTTGATTATCTTTTAGCAAGAAGAATTTTTAATAGACATGCATACAGAATTATTGTAAAAGATTATACTTCATGTACATGTTATATCAACTGATTTTTTATGAACATGTTATATATAAATATTTAAACACATCTTTGTATCCATTACAAGTTACAACTGACTTTAATGTGGATTTGTGTTGTGTACGTATGTGCATTGGACAAAAAAATACCAAATTTCTGCACCGGCATAGTGTGTACGGCTCGATACGATTTTATGGCATGTTTTATTGACTGTATCGGGGACGGGAATCGAGGTGGAAAATGTTCTCGTAATCCTAAGGATCCTAAAGATCCCAAGAAATATTGTTGTTGCAAAAACAAGTAATACAAGTATGGAATGGAATACAAATGATTCTAGAATTGCATTTAGTTTCGTTAAACTATTGGCCTTATTACAAAACACATTCTTGAGAGGTACATGTGACAAGTTAAGTTACTGAAATTATCAAACGCATCAATTGAATCAAGAATATGAAGAAGGAGGAAGAGACGACGTGGATAACTTAAGCCAGTGAAGTGAAATAAATTGATGATTTTTCTACTGCTTGATTTACAAAATGTTTCCGTTCTTCATATGCATTAATTATTAAGATGATGTATGTTTATGAAGGGATTTGGTAGTTCAAAGCGACTTGTACATAATAAATCGTTTATATTACATTTAAACCAAACTACTAAATAATTTTTAATTTGAAATCACACAAT